GGGGGGGAATAGTGTTAGAAGGATGGGGGCTGGGGATGCCCAAGATGCTGTGGGGGCAGAGGAGGCATCAAGGGGGGTGGGGGAGCAGAGACAGCCAGCCTGGGAGGAGGGGCTCTGCCAGAGCAGGTGAGGCCATTTGGGGGAAGGGGGGGCTGACGTGCTTCCCCCCCCCCCAGTGACTCCATCGGAGACTTTGGGCCTGTCAGGCAGGGGGTGCAGCCAAACTGGGACACTATTCCCCCCTCCAGCGAATGCAATTCCAGCAAGTCCAGGGGGAGGAGAGTTCAAATTCTGATACCACCTCCTCCCTTGTGTGGGGTTGGGAGCAGTGGGGCAGGGGGCTTTCCCCCGTCCCGTGTGGGGTGGGCTCTCCTTCCAGCATGGCTTTTCAGCTGTTCCTCCCCCCGCCCCCAGCGAGTGCCAACATTTGCAACGTGGTCCTGATGAGGCACACGGAACTGGAGGAGGGGATCGACGTCCAGGACGAGGAAGGGAAGGTGGTGGGATCGTCCCGGATCGCGGCCAGACACGTATGTGCCTCCTGGGGCTCCCGGCTGGCCTCTTTCTGCCAGGGCCGGGTGGGGGGTTGAGGGTCCCAGCAGGGCCAGGGCCAGGGTGGGTGTGCAGAGGCTTCTGGGCCCGATCTCTGCTGCTCAGGGAGTGAAGAAGGAGCCCCCCTCCTTTGCCCCTCTGGGAACGTCTCCTGCTGGCCAAGGAGGGCCTGCGCCATGGGGGGGGGGCATTCCTCTGCATGTTCTGACCGAGGGGGCTGCAGGGCTGCCCTAAGCTCTGCCAGCGGTGGCATGGGAAAAGTCCTGGCACTTCTGGGGCTCATGAGAGCAGGAAGCCCCCGGGAGTGAAGGGTCCTGTGCCCGATTGTGGGGAGGGGGGCAAAGAGGAAAGGAGGCAGGAGGGTTCTTAATTTCCCTGGCTGGAATTAATCAGCGACCCCCAGCTGTGTCTATGGGAAGATGCTCCAGATGTTTCCCGACCCCCCCACCTGCCTGCTTCCCCCCTCCCGCCCCTGGTTCAGCCCTTCCATCTGCAGACCCCCCAGGCCTTTCTGCCTCTGAGTATCTCTTTGCCAAGCCCACCTACGCAAAGCCCCATGGGGCTGATGGTGTCCCTGTTGCCTTTCCCACCCTCCACAAGAGAACACCTGTTCAGCCGGCAGAGGACCTCTGGGTCAGAGACCCCCAGCCTTTGGGAAGGGAGAGCCCCTGCAGCCCCCTCAGTCAAAACGTTGCCCCTCCCCCTGCCCAGAAGATCTGAGCTCTGCTGCACTCACACTTTGCACCAAGGGGGCTGCCTCCATCCCCGAGTTGCTGCCTCCTCCAGGACATGCAGGGGGGGCACTTTGCAAAGAACGGGGGGGGCAGGTGTGGGAGACCCGGGCTGCAACCTGCAAGGGCCCTTCAGAGCGTGGAGCCGGCAGCTTCCTGCCCCCGTGGGGTGAGAGAGACCCTGCCCAACCCCACGCAGGGCTCCTCCTTGTGGCGGGCGAGAGAGGCCGTCTCCGCACCCCAATCAGAGCCCCCCCCCCCGTTTCTGGCAAGCGGCGCATCTGAAGCAGCCGCCCACCGTCTCTCCTCAGGCCCTGCTGGAGACGGCGCTCACCCGCGTGGTGCTGCCGATGCCCATCCTGGTCCTGCCTCCCATCATCATGTCCCTCCTGGAGAAGTAAGTGGGGCGCAGAGGGCACTGGGGAGGGGGGGGCTCCCTCTAGGGCTGTAAGAGAGTGAGGGCCCCCCAGGAGGAGGGAAGGGCGTTTTGGGGTGTCGTATTCGCCAGTATTAATGCAGAGGGACGTTCTGTTACCGCATCTTCCCGCCACTCTGGGTGACGCCACTTTTAGGGCGTCTGCGCAATCGATGAGAAGCTCCTTCGTTTCGGTGTGTTTTTTATTAAATTTGCAGGCTACTCAACTCTGCGCAGCTGCCTTATAACTAAAGCAGAACCGTAAAACGGGGGGATGAAGGAACCAGGCGTGACTGAGAAGTGTGCAATGTGGCAAAAACAGTGGAAGAGAACATTGGTAGCTCAGGGTTGAACTGTGGGGGTCCTTTGGTGCACCCGGAGTTTGGTTGTTTTGAAGACCTTTCATTACCCTACTAGGTAACCTCAGCGGTGCGCGTGAGTGTGGGGTTTCCTCCCTCTTTATATACGTACCTAGAGGTTTGCCCTGCCAACATTGGTGGGTTTCCTCCTTGGTGCTTGCTTTGATTTGGGTCTTGTTTTCCACCCATTTTGTTTGCCTGGTGCTGATCCCGGCTTATCTTGGTCTTGGCTGCTGGAGGATTCGTCTCCTGCTCTTTTCTTTTTCCTTAGCTTTCTTTTTGTCTCTCTTGAATGGTGTGTAAATTTAGTTCATCGCTATGTGTCTGCTGATGGCTGATTTGTCTGAATGCCAAGAGGAATTCCTTAGCATTTTTGGATTTTTGCTCACTGTTTCCTAGTTGAAACCGTGGTGGAGTCTGTCATACATCGTGCAATTAAAGAGTTGTCAGCATTCACACTGAGTAAAAGATACTCTACCGCATCCTTACAGATCTTCGTCCTCCCCCCCTCCCCACCTCCCCAGTGTTCTTTCCCGGTCCCTGTTAATGAAACCTCTATATAGCTTGATTTAATTTTATTGAAAGTTTTAAAATTAAAACTGAACAAGAAGGAAAACAAAAAAAGGAAGAAAGGGAAAAATGAAAAAGAAAAGAATGAAGAAGAAAAATAGAAAAGAGAAAAAAAGCCAGTCTTCTTTACAACTTCTGTACAGTTGCAGATTCACTTCTTTCTCTGAAATTACATTGTGACTTTCTACAAACTGTCCTATCTAATCATCAAAGCCACAGGGCCTCCCACACCCATTTTTTCCCTGGTTTTTCTTTTTTCTTTTTTCTTTGCAAAAAAACCACAGTCCCCAAAGGAAAAGTTCTAGTTTCAGGTGTATATTATTCTTTAAAATCCTCTTAATCCGTGTATATATTTGAATCTGGAATTTTCTAGCTCTTTAACACGTCTACCAAGCATGGTAAAATGACGCTTCTCATAACTTTGAGGTGCTTTTATACATTCTAGAACTGTGTTTCTCAACCTTGGCCACTTGAAGATGTCCGAACTTCAACTCCCAGAATTCCCCAGCCAGCGAATGCATTCTCCTCCTCCCCCTCCCCCTCCTCCTCCTCCTCCTCCTCCTCCTCCTAGCACTGGTGAGATTCCCTAGTTTGGGTCACGAAACAGCTGCAAGGAAGCCTCCCAGCTCAGAGAGCCCCCGGGAGCCCCCAGTTCCCCATTTCGTGGCTCTAACCGGAGACATGGAGGGCAGCCATGTTGACTATAAACACAGCTCTTCCTGCCCCACTCGGAGGCTGCCCTGAGCCCCTGCCATATCTCCCGCTCAGCGCCTCCGTCTCCTCTGAGGCACAGGCCGCTCCGGAGCACCCGACCCGAGAAGCCCCGGGGGGGCCCGAGAGCAACTTCCATATGGAAGGCGTTGCAGGCCCTCCGAAAACGCCGGCGACAGCTGCCACATTATGCAGGACGTGAACCGCTAATCAGCCATGTGCTGAAACTGGAAGGACGGTGCGCGTTCAGGCTCAGTGACACAGCGTGTCTGCAGCACAGATGCCCCGTCTGCACCCTCCTTCTCTCCGGGGCCCTTCGGGGGGGAGGGGAGGCTGTGGCTTTCCTCCCTCTCCCTTGGGCTTTTGGAAGGGGCTTCCTGCCTCCCTGAGGCCCTGTCCACAAGAGGAGGGGTCTCTGTGGGGGGGGGGACCAGCCCCCCCCCCGGGGCCCTTGCTGTGAGGAAGAGCGCTGTCTCTCTTGGCAAGGGGGCAGAGGCCACTCGGGTGGCAACAGGGAGACCCCCCACTTCCACTGGGTCTCTTCCTGCTCGCTGCTGGGCAGGAGGGAGAGGGGGGCTGCCTCCCATCCCAGTCTTGCCCCCTTCTTCCCAGGCTCCCAAGCATCCAGGGCCCCTTTTCAAAGCTTTCCGGGACCCCCAAGGACTTTTGGGCCAATGCCAGCTGCTCTCCTCTTCATCCAAAGCAGACTCCCCAAACCTGGCCACTTGAAGACCTGTGGACATTGCAACAACCAGAATTGCGTCTGGCTGGGGAATTCTGGGAGTTGAAGTCCACAAGTCTCCAGGTGTGGGGAGCCCTGCTCTAAAGCAGGTTGCAGGGTCTGCGTTGTGTGGGCTGACTAGCACGGACCACCCCCAGCCAGGATGTGCCACAGAGCATCCAGAGGGCTGGCCTTGATCCTGGAAGCCCTCCTCCCATCCAGGCCCCGGCAGAGAAGGAGGGAAGGCAGCCGTTCCCATGTGCACTCTGTACAGGGGTTCCCTGTGTTCCTGCCTAGAGCTGAGGTGGTGCAGTGGTTAGAGTGCAGGACTGCAGGCTCCTTCTGCTGATCACCTGCAATTTGGCAGTTCGAATCTCACCAGGCTCAAGGTTAACTCGGCCTTCCATTCTTCCCAGGTCGGTAAAATGAGGACCCAGATGGCTGGGGGGGCAGAGGCTGGCTCTGTAAACTGCTCAGAGGGGGCCTGTATAAAGCCCCGTGAAGCCGTATATCACTCTAAGGGCTCTGGCTATCATTTCCTGGAGCACTTCAACCGGGGCTGCTCTGGCAGTTGAGTCCAGCCAGGGAAATCCCCCCTTGGGGTCCTCCCCGCCTCCATCCAAAGCTGACTGGCTCTTGAGGCTGTGCCTGCGGGGACCGCGGGGGCAGTTGGGGGGGGGCAGAGGCCGGGGCGGGCAGGGCTGGCCCCGACTGGTGTGTGGGATGAGAGGGGCAGAGCTTCCAGAGACCCGAAGGCTGAGCCTCCCTCTGGCTTCACTCTGAGTCATTTAGCCTGAACTTTGCGACTGCTGAGATCTGAGCCCCAATTAAGACATTGCACTTCATGTGATAATTAAGGCTTTTTCTTTAAATCAGGCCACAACGCCTCCTAATGAGGAGGCCCAGCCATTGTGATTTGAACCGGTCCGGGTTTAAAACACCCAGGGTGGAAGTCACACCTGGGAGCCTCACCTGCCAACGCTCTAAATTGGTTCTGCTCCCCGTAGGAGGAGAGGGGGGGCTGCAATTAAGTGGCTGCAAACGGGGTGGCCTGGGGAAGAGGGGCAGCGGCCCAGAGGGGGCGGGTGGGGTCCACCCGGGCTCCAGTGGGCTGCCAGCTTTGGTTGCGAGGGTGCTGGGTGGAATTTCAGAGGGACACCAGTCACCTCCATCAGGTGCACGGACAGAGGGGGTGGGCCCAGTTGTCGGTGGAAGAGGTGCCCATGGGGGGGGGGAGGAGGTGACCACCTGCGTCCTCCTGCCCCGCCTCCGTGGCTCTGGCTTGTTCAGGACCCCCCTTGGCAAGGCCAGCGTGTCTGTGCGTTGCCCGACTGGGGAGGGGATGAGCCCTTTGCCAGAGCTCTCAGGGATGGCGGAGGAGGGAGGGAAGAGAGGTCGTCCGGACAGGGAGGGGGCAGCAGTGCCTCAGTGCTGCCCCCACCCTCTGGGTGCAAAGGGTCCTTCAGAGCCAGGGCAGGGTCAGGGGGCGCCGAGAGCCCTCACTGTCTTGTCCATCTTCTCTGAAAGGGGTCCAGAGGGGCAGCCATCTCCACCTCCCTCCTGCAGCTCTGCTGGGGGCAAAGGGAGGCTTCCTGTGTCGGCCGGGATCTCCTCCAGCTTTCTAGTTTGGCCCTGGTGGCTCCTTGAGGGAGGGAGGGACAGGCAGGCTGGCAAGTACAGGAGATCAGGGCCTCCTGGCCAGGGTGGGTGGCGAGGGCCAGACCCTCACCCAAAAGAGGTTCACTTCTGCAGATGGCCTCCAGCTCTCCTCCCCCACAGGACCCTGGGGGGCTAAATGGCTGGGTCTCCTCTCCCAAGGCGGCTGTGAGCGGGGCAGAGAAGGGGGTCCCTGGGGGGTTCTCTGTCTGAGGACGATACCCGTCTCTCTTCCAGGACGGCTTTTCTGCGCTCCCGACCTCGGATGCTCCTCCCGGTCCAGAGCCTCGTGTGCCTTGCCGCCTTCGGCCTCGCCCTCCCCTTGGCCATCAGCCTCTTCCCCCAGATGTCCCAGGTGAGCAGCACGCTCCTTCCGGTCCCTGGAGGGGGGGTAAGGGGGGGGTCTTGTGGAAGGGTCCAAGGACACCCCTGAGCCCTCTCGGTCGACAAAGTGGCGGGCCTGGATGTCCTGAGCCCCAGCTCAGAGCTCCCGTGGGCAGGGGGCTCTCTTACCCGCTGCCTCCCGGAGGGCACCAAGGGCTGCTTCCGTGAATGGGTGGGGCCCTTCAGGAGCCCCAGAGTCTGACCTCTGCTGGCTGGGGGCAGAGGTGCCGCTTGCAGCCTTTGGGGTGGGGGAACGGAGAGGGCGTGGCACCCCAGAAAGTTGTTCTGGCTGCTGCCCCCCTCCACCCCTGAGCCCACCTTTCAAGGCCAAGCGAAGAGTCCCAGGCTCTCTTGGCAGCCGTGGGTCCCAACGTGGCAGGTGTGGCCCTTCCTTGCAAGGGGCCCTCCGTGTGTGTGTGGGGGCATCCCTTTAACTTTATGGGGTGGTGGGTTTCTTCGCAAATAGCTGCACTTTCCCATCGACCCACGGCAGGAATTGGAGTTTCACCAATATAAGCACTGAGTAAATAATGGGGGGGAGGGGGGGCCGCCTGCAGATTTGAGAAATGAGTAAATGGTGGTTTTAGTCCAGTGTTTCTCAACCTTGGTCACCTGAAGACCCAGCAGAGCTGGCTGGGGAATTCTGGGAGTTGAAGTCCACGGTTGAGAAACACTGTTTTAGTCACTCCTCGATTTCATCCATGGAGGGGAGGGGATTTGCATGTGAAGGTCCCAGTTTGACAGGAAGGGTCTCTCCCTCCTTCCGTGTCTGGGGATCAGGAAGGGCAGCATCAGAGGATGCCTCTCCCCCCACCCCCCGCAGCCTTTGCAATGGGCCACCTGGAGTCTCCGAAGGCCTTTCATGAAAGGCTGAGGTGGGGGTGGGATTGGCCATTTTAATTAGGGCACCACTTTAATCGATCACTTTAATGGGGTACCCAGAAAAGCTGAGGGGAGCCCCCTGATGGGCAGTGGCCGCTCTAAGGCACGTCCACCTTTGCTTGCTCTTCCCTGCAGGAAGTGGGCCTGGGGGAGAGGAGTGAAAACCTGGCCCCTTGCCAACCCCCCAAAGGGGTCTGGGACCCCGGCACCCCAAGGGGCAGGAGGCGTTTGGGCTGCCTGCCAGGGAGCCCCAGGACCCTTCCTGGCGCTCCTGAGACAAGGGCTGGGGGGGGCAGTGGGGCAGAGGCTGAGCCTGACTGCGTGGGAAGGCAGGGGCCCCCTGAGACCCTCCAGTGCCCAGTGGGGAGGAGGCAGAAAGGTTGGAGGGGCTCCTGGTGGGTCAACAGCTCCCCTTAGCCAGCCCACCTTGGGACGAAAGCTGGGCTAATACGGAAGAAACAGCAATAGGATCGTTGAAGAAAAGATCCCACAGGGGGGACAGAATGGAATGTGAATGGATATAATGAAAATAATGTTTAACTGCTTTAAATAATTGAGTTGTGCCTCTGGGGACTTTCTCCCATTCCGACTCCCAGTTGGCTCCGATTTCCCAGAATGTCCCGGAGGGCCCCCAATGCTGGAGCCGTAAAAACGGGGCCCTCGTGGTGGCCTTGCAAAAGAGGCCCCTTTTTCCTCCGCCCGGTTCCCCCTGCCAGCCCCCCTTCCCCCCCCTCTGGCCCCGGCTGCCTCATTGCCCCTTTCAGCCTCCTGGGCTCCTCCAGGGAGCCTTTCTGAGGACTGATCGATCGATTGACTGATTGGTTTAAATCCTTGGGCTCCCCTCCCCCGATCCAAAAGGATCCTGACCTGCAGGGGCTCCGGACGAGGGTCTCGGAGGGAGCTGGAAGGGGGGGTGGGACCCTGAAACGCCCAGGGCGTGATGCCTGTTTCGAGTTTCAAAGCCTTCCCAGTGGGGAGGGGGCTTGGCTGTCCCTGCCGCTGCTTGCAGCAAGGAAGAAACTCCTCCTCTTCCTCCCTCTGGGCATCCACAGGTGCCCCTCAGCCCCCCAAGCATTTTAGCCTGGCCTTGGGAGGCAGTCGCCTTGCCCAGCCCAAGTTGGGGGGCAACTGTCCCTCCGCAGCCGGATGGACCGGCACAATCCGCCCCTCCGCGGATTGAAGAGCAGCTGAAGGCCTGATGCCCCGGGCCCCCTCCTGGCTCTGCAACCGGGGGGGGGGGGGAAACGGCCCTCCTTCGCCAATCTGTCTGAGCCTCCTCCCTCTGCTGGCAGCGCCACGAGGGAAGCAAGAGGTTAATGAGCCAAGAGAGCCGCGGTGTTGCGGCAGCAGCCGCACGATGACAGTGAGCAGCAATTACTAATTAGATGCAGTTTAACAGGAGGGGGGGTGACATCTCCTCTCCGCCAACTGTCAATAATTAGCAGATCTGGTGAGGCTGAAATGTGTCCACAGTTAAAAGGCGGCTCCTGCCTGGGAAACGAGGAAGAGGAGGAGGGGAGGCGTTGGTGGGCGGGGCCAGCCTCAGGGCAGGCGGGAGGGTCTGACGGTCCTGCTGGGGGGCAGCGGGGGGGGGGACTTTTTCCGGAGAGCACGAAGGCTGGATCCGGTGCAGCGTCAGGGAAGGGTCTCAGCCCTCCGGGTGGCAGGAACAACAGATGGGTCTTCACCTCAGCAAGCCAGTTGCCCAACCTCTAGTCCGGCTGGTGGTCCTCGTGGCCAGGATGCCTTCAGGGTTTCATCCCAGCTCCAGAGGCCTCGCCTGGGAACCGGCACGGATGCAGCAGGAGCTCCTCCTGGACTTCATCCTGGGCAGGAAAGCCGGAGACCCTGGGTACAGGATGGCTCTTGTGCCCCCTGCCCTGCCAGAGCCACTCCGCCACTGTGGGCCAGGGAGGGAGGGAGGATGGATGGATGAATGAATGGAAGGAAGGAAGGAAAGAAAGAGAAAGAGGGGAAGAAGGGAGGAAATGCGTGGCTGCTTCTCTTGAGGGATCCCTTCTGAGTCCAGTGGTGCCAGTCAGGAAAGTGCCGAAGAGGCTTCATGGGAGGGGTAGGGAGCCTGCCCTCTCCCCCCCTGGCAGCTTCCTTCTTGGCCTTGCTGGGCCACATCCACCTCTTCACGGAGGACAACTCTCAGCTTACGTCCCTCCCCTTAAGCTTCCAGTCGCTCTTAGAAGTTCCGTTTCTCCTCCAGTTGCCTGAGTGGATCCTTCTCAGAAGAGTCCATTGTGGCTTTGTTGGGCTTTGAGAGAGAGAAAGAGAGAGAGAGAGAGAGAGATGACATTACAAAAGTTTTTCTTTCTTATTTTTTTTATTAAAAGTTTTAATGAGTTTTATAATTATATACCTTTCCCTCCCTCCCTCCCCAACCTCCCAGAGCAAATACAGGGTATAAACATTTAGCAACCATACACTAAAATAAACTAACTTTAGCATCGTACCTTCACTTATACTTTAACTCCCCTTTTGTAAAACTAACTTTAGATAAATTGTAACATTCCTTGTTCATTCATTCATAAGCTAACTGAAATTTCTTAGTCCCATATATTTATCCTCCCAGAGCAAAATACAGGCTATAAACATTTAACAATCATACACTAAAATAAACTAACTTTAGCATCGTACCTTCACTTATACTTTAACTCCCCTTTTGTAAAGCTAACTTTACATAAATTGTAACATTCCTTGTTCATTCATTCATAAGCTAACTGAAATTTCTTAGTCCCATATATTTATCCTCCCAGAGCAAAATACAGGCTATAAACATTTAACAATCATACACTAAAATAAACTAACTTTAGCATCGTACCTTCACTTGTACTTTAACTCCCCTTTTGTAAAGCTAACTTTACATAAATTGTAACATTCCTTGTTCATTCATTCATAAGCTAACTGAAATTTCTTAGTCCCATATATTTATCCTCCCAGAGCAAAATACAGGCTATAAACATTTAA